ATCTATTTGTTGCGTCTGTCTCACTTTGCCTCGTTGCTTCGTTCGCTTTCTTTGTCACATGGTGTTCTATGATTAGGCTGATAGAAAGGGATCAGTTCTGCCAATAAGGGAAGCGCTTTATTCTACTTCTGCCATGACGTTAGAATGGTTGGGTTGGTGGGGATTCGGTCCTACAAGTTTCTCAGATGACGTCTTTTCAGCCACGCATAGTACGTATAGTTGGCCAATTCCTGGAATTAACCTTTCTGTTTATTTCCGAAAGCCTATACTTCGTTCAATGAGAACTGGCAGGAGGTATGAAAAACTACAATGCGAAGGACGCGTGATCAGAACAGGACTGGAACACCTTTTTCTAAGCTCTGCGCATAAGGAAAGAAGCCGGACTCGCATGCCAGGGCCCTTGGCAAGGGTTCTTCGTTATTCGTCCCTGAACATCGATGTTTGACAGCCACTAAGCTATACTCATAGCACCGATCATGTTTTCTTTGTATTTCCTGTCAATTGTAAAACGGAGCATGGATCACCTAAGTTTGATTAGATCGCGTCCTCAACCCTGTCGCGTCAGCGTAGCGGGCCTTGTACCCCGCGAAATTTGAATCGACAGAATTGCACTGTTCGAATTCACAACACTATTATGTATTATATTACTTTATTAAACCCTACCATTAATCATGATATTTCATAAGTGTTGTGAATTTGAAAAGTGCAATTCTGTTGATTCAAATTTCGCGGGGGTTAATGAATCCTTCGCACCCGAAGATTTTTTCGCTGTAAAAATATAGCAATTCCAAGCTTTTCTCGTATTTGTTGTAGTAAAATTAAATAGTAAAGTAAACTGTACATCCTAGCGATGTGGGGGCGATCCCTTAAGCTTCGTTTTGTCTTTTGCCTACTATTTTCTGGAGACGTCCTGTCATCTGCGTGACCCTAAACAGGCCAGTTCAATAAAGATCTATACAGTTTTCCCACCGTTTCCACTGACTACTATTCCTTTGCGTTATAACCCCTTTAACAGTATTCTTGTGGACTCGGTGATGCTTCTTATGTGAAAATAAAGAAAGAAAATCATGCGTTTACGTCGGAAATGAACGAAGAGAATTATTTTACTTACATAGTTCATTATTATTTCTCTCTTATTACGTAAGTCGCTCTCTCGAGTGCAAATGGTTAATCCCGTTTACGCGCTTCATGCATTTCTATCGAGCATGGTTATACTGGCATAGTGCCTAACATGACGTTATTCCAGATTACATTATCTGTAACATCGTGGCAGTCAAGGTAACAGCTAGATTGCGGAAATTTCCGCAGTAACGATATTGCAAAGAATACGCAAACTTAAAGCAAGAACGTGGCAAACTGTATGTGAGGCATATACAAAGTATAATAGTTTATATAATAATTTAATATATATGCAGCTTTTAATTGTGAAACGAAAATACTACAAAATTTTTCTCAAACACGTAACGATAATAACAAACAAAATTCATTAAATTAAATAGCAGTCGAGGAACTGTCCTGTGAAGTAAATTTCAAACAAAATCTTTAAAACAGTAGGGAGCTATTGACAACAAAATTGAAAAAGAATTCAAAGTGAAAAGAGTTAAACACCGTAGATTTCGATTTCTTGGCTGACATAGTGATCGTCGAACTATCAAACACCGTAGATTTTGATTTCTTGGCTGACATAGTGATCGACGAACTATCGAATGATAGACCGACGAAACGATGGACTGGCAACAAAATTAAAAAAGAATTTAGAGTGCAAAGAGTTAAACACCGTAGATCTCGATTTCTTGGCTGACATAGTGATCATCGAAACTATCGAACGATGGACTGACGAAACCCGTACTCTACGACTACGTTCACCGAGAACTGGCAAGAAGTATAACCCAATCGTTCACGTGATCAACGCCGCAGCTCAGCTGCTGAAGGTCGATGCTGAGAAATTTTTAAAAATCTTAAACGATCCACTTCTTAATCTGCAGGGATTCAAGCATCGCGTTACTGCCTTGCTCTCACCACGAGTCGTTCGTGTGAAGCTCTTTACATACCTTATCAATAATTCTCGTTAAACGGTGTACAGTGGATGAAGTATAATCGATAAGGAAATAAATAGTGGTATCGTCGCATATGATCGACGATCATCGATTCACACAAGCTAATCTGTATGACGAGCAGGCAACCAAGTATGAGTATAGTGACGAGCAGAGCTGAACGCGCAAGAAAAATCGTGCAAGAAGATACTATATCGGTGCAACATGATCAAAGTAAACATTGTCAGTTACTCGCGTCTTATCATAGTCCATGTGAAAAATTATTTCCCCATGATCCGAGCTATCGAATCCAAACCTAACCCACTATATACGTATCACGTTTGCCTATTCTACAAATGGGGATGTTGCTTTCGAAACCGACCTTTCTTATAAAAGCATGAAACTGTTATTATTAATAACGTACAAGTATTTATATTATACGAGTATTTAGGATCATGATTATGAACCTGTTCAACGCAAGCTTAACCCTTTGCGGTCGACAGATTTGAAATTTAGTGTTTCGCGGTTACTTTTCTGTACAGGATTTAAAGGCAATATATGGATATTAAAGCGCAGACAATTTGTCGAAACTAATTTGTGTTTAATACTAGTAATAATACGTAAAAAATACAACATTTTTAATTTCTCTAATTTTCTGTAGTTTTCTGTATTTTTCGACTTACGAATGTCCGTCCCCGCTTCGAGGACATCGACCGCAAAGGGTTAAGCCTTTGCACTCGAGAGACGCCTCTGAGTCGCCATTTAATCAGATTCTAAAGATGGATGTTCATTAATATATTAAATTTACAATTACCCATAGATGCGTGGAATATCGAAGTAAAATATTTCTACGTCTCAATTTGCATACGATTTCTTATTTACCGTTTTAGAAATATCGTCGACATAGAAAGTCTTCGAATTACTATTTTCCTGTAACGAATGCAAAGGGTTAATCTTAAATCTCTTGAATCAAGAAGAATTGCTGCCAACCTTTTATCTCTCTTCAAAATTATGTAGAGATGGCGAAAACTGGTTTTGTGACAGCAAAAATTGACAAAATAAGAAAATTAAAATAACACAAACTCAAACCTCATAAAACTATTTTAACTTAGGAAAAGAACACACCAAGATATTGAAACGAAAACACACAAAGACGCACTCTAATTTAACTCTCTTTCCAACACCGAGCGAGTCACGCTCCTGCAGGTCACAATTAATTTCTAAGGACTCTGTTTTGGTCGTCAAGGGCCCTGCTTTTATGCTTTTCTTAACCTACGCTTCATCTCCACGTAGGGACCACGCAACTTAATTTTGTTACCCAAAATAACTTTTCCATTTGTTTTTAAAAAATATTAATCGGTTTATAATTTGTTTTTGTTGGCAATGGCCGATTCGCGATTTCTTACCGAAATGGTATCATACAATTATAGACACTGTTATACGCAGTTCAGAATTATCTTTCATTAATTTTCATGCTCCTTCAAGAAATTTAAGAGACTTCCAAATCTTTGTACCTGACCAGCATAATACTGCACGACTTGAATCAGCAGACCCTATTAATAGAATATGCGTTCTTGGAAACAATTTTTCATCAAACTTTCAATATTTTGGTAATAGTATCTTTTCGTTTAAAAACCAGATCTTAACCCTTTGCACTTTTCGTTAGAGAAACATAGTAATTCGAAGACTTTCTGCCATAAAATCGGCGATATTTTCAAAAAGATAAATAAAAAGTGCAAATTAATTGTAAGACGTAGATTTATTTTACCTCGATATTCCACGCGTCGATGGGTAATTTTAAATTCGAGATATTAATTAACAACGATCTTTAGAATCTGATTAAATGGCGACTGACAGTCGCCTCTCGGTGCAAAGGGTTAAATCTCTAACCAAACTGTTTATATTGGCTATATCGGCATTTGTACCATACGTAACCTATATAATTTCTCTCTCTAACAAACTGATGTATCTTTATTTTTTGTTGATACGCTAATGAATTCTACTACCCGTAAATTGTTATTAAATAAATAAATAAACACGCAAGAGTATTATGCTTCGCATCGCACGAACGCTTGAAAATAACGTATATAACAATTACTCGCAGATTGAAATTAAAAATCCCCTATTTTGACCTACAGATTACGTATATCCATTTACACGAATGTGAATTAAAATTTAAAAAAAAAAGGATGAAAAATTCGAAATTTTAATATATTATTTGTACAAATTAATTTTTCATCAAAATTTTTAAATAGCTGCATTTCCGATTTAAGAAAAATTATATTTTTCATTTATATATCGGGGATGAAGTTTGCCTCTAGCCCTTTTGTTTCCCGAGATATGCCAAAAAATATTTTTCAACCCTAACTTTGGGGACTGTTTTCACCCCTTTAATATGGAAAATAAACGATACCGAAAAATACGTATGAAATAATTTTTTGAAAATTATAAATTTCATCAAATTCGGTAACTTGGGGTTGAATATATTCCCTTGTTAGAGTGTTACATGAGAACTTACTTGGAAGTAATGTTTGGAACGACTATCGTCATGTCACCTTTCGTTTTATATATTTCATTGAATACTTTTGAACGAATCTATACAACAATGTATATTACCAATATATGTAAACAAAACTCTTTGCAACTAGCTAATAAAAAAGTCTCACTATTATCTGCAAAATTAAAACAATGGCTAAGAAACGACATATAAATATCCTAAATCTGGCGTACTATGATACAACCAACTAGTTAACATAATCAACAATTGTCACTATATTCTTATATTGCTAAAACAAAATTAAAAGAAAGATATGGTCTAGCTGCAAAAATATAAAAATCGTGAATTCGACTCTAATTCCTCCGATCGCGTCTACTCTAAAGACAAAACTCTGCGTTTACTATGTTTACTCCGAGACACGTTGCCTAGCAAACAAAAAGAGAAAAGAGAAGTGGCAGAATGAGACATACCTAACAGCAGGGTCATAAGTCTTCTCGTCACATTCGCTGCCACATTCGACATTCTCAACCGGAAGGTTCGCTTGACACACGTGTTCCTCGTCCCCAGATCTAGTTCCGCAGGAGCAAGTGGGCATCTTGGTGACCGACGATTCGACGCGTTTCAGAAACAGAGACAGAGCGACTAACCGGGGATCTAACACGTACTCAAATCTGACAGGCGTTTTATTGAACGGAAGAAAACGATCGACTAACTGGACATAGACACTTTCCGCGACTACGTGCCAAAATCTCATCAAAATCTCGTCCAAGGTCTCCCTAAACTGTGTCGAGCAAGTACCGCTCTCTGAATAGAATCTTTGCGTTGCTTCAAAAGATATATATATTCGGAGAACCCCTAGATCGAGCCACGATCGTTTGCATTCCCACTACACCGTCTGGTGGCCGCCAAACGGCAGCCAATGCAACTAGATACCAGTGTACACGTGCATATCTCTCATCTCCACTGGCTAAACTCGCGGAGCTTCACCCACTCCGCACCTCCGTCACCTTGATACCAAGTCAATTGTCATTTGTTTTGCAACAGATGCACAGTGTTAGTGGCAGTGGTGGGGAATGGTTAGTCTCTTTCCAAGTTATCTCCGTCTCTTGCAACTCTGGTGGGAGACCTGGCCACGTGAGAGACCCCTTCGCGCCAACAGGACTGGATTAGCATAGACTAGTCGCGGCTATGGCGCGCAAATGAATGTTAGGAATCGATGTGACGGACAAGTTGACAAATCTTTCGCTAGTTTTTCCAAGGTTCACGGATGTGCGATTGGACGACAGTGAAACTTTCTATGGTTTTTTTTACGCTGATCGTGGAATCATGCCTAGTAATCGCTAGTGAGTTATTCTGGCGGCTGTTTGGTGTTAATGGTACCTTGATAGTGGTGCGGAGCGAATTGACAATTATCTGAAACGAGAGATTAACAAAATTGGTAAGGGTTTCTCGTACAGGCGATTCAGAACTATCTTCATTCTAGGATAGGTGACTCGTCGTAGGTACCCTAAATGTAGTATACGCAAATGGTAGAAGGAAAATAGATACGTGTATCTATATTTTTATTTCGAGAAAGATGAACGTTCGTTTGTTCACGAATTTTCGATAACTGCAAGAACTGAACTTCTGAAACCAGGTAGTTTGTTGTATTTGATACTGCTTGTGTTGAAAACGCGAATATTTCTATTAGCAACGAAATTTTGTCAGCTACTTGTATAATGATATACATGTATAGATTGCGTTTCACGTGGCAAATAATTTGCGTAAGTGTATAGTTTAGCAACTTGGTTTAAAATAACGAAATGTAAGGAATAAATTAAAAGATTGCCCCTGAAACTATCCACAAATCTCTATACTTCTAAATCAACGTTAAACGCAACGATAATAAGTTTACGAAGTACATGAATCTGTTTAATTTCAAACGCTTTTATCCATTTAACAGGTTCAATCCGCGGTATAATTCGTTACAATATGAATTATAATTAATATGAATTTTATGAGAATAAAAATCAGGAAATTTTGAAAAAATTTGCAATTTCTAATAATCCTTGACAAATCACGTACATGTGCAAGGCTATACAATATAGAGTCAAGTTTGCATGAAAACAATCTATCGTCACGTAGTGCACCGAATGAAAATCCGATTGGCCTAAGGGACTAAGTGACTAAGATTGACTATCAGTGACGAAGAGTGCTGAACACGTTTCGCGATAAGATTCTTTTCCACTGAAACCCACATAAGGATTACGAACTTTTTAACAAAACATTCACGATTCGCATAATTATGAAACGTGAGAAACAGGGAAAACAAGTGAAATTATGACAAATACAGAAATAAATAAATTCTAAACAAAACCTCGAACGTCCTGACATTACCGATTTCGTCATTGTCAGAGGAATAGACACTGAGAAAATTAATATACATACAATAGATCTTAACCTAGATCACTATCTACCATTCATAAATTCGTACGAGCAATTTATCACGATCATGGTTGCATCTAAGAGTAGAACCACTACCTAGACCAAGTTCAGAGAATACGTCATCGGAAAATTAAACCACATCCTTTTCTTACTGCTCAAATTTAAAAAGAAGATAAAGCACGTCAGATCTTAACACTCGGATTGCTATACCTGGGTCCGTTCGGACCCCACTCTAGATGCAATATACTAGCTTCATCGATACTTGACACGCCGTTTGTTCGTGATAGAACGATAACGAAGCGAATACGGGTTAGAAGATGTATTTCCCGACAGTATTCAGTGCGACTCCCAGTAATCGATTATGCACAATCTCATAGGAGTTTACGTTGGGGTCCGAATGGACCCAGCACCGCCGCTTGCGCAGGCGCCCAAGTGTTAACACTTTACCGACCGGAGGCCTATTAATAGGCTTTTGATCGCCGATACTTACCGACCGACAGCCTATTTTCAGGCTTTTTCGTACGTTGCTCAGTTGTGTTAGTTGCGTTGCTTTGTAAGCTCCCACATTGTTGCGGCCCTAGGACCGCAATGTCCCAGGTCAAGTGGAGGACTGTTTTATGTCTTTAGTATCAGTTTTTTTTTACAAATTTATCTGAGCATACAAAACGCACAGACACTTCCGTGCGACAGTCTAAGCCGAAACAGAGCCGGCGCCAGGGAGAATCTGCGACTGAGCGGCTGGTCGGAAGTACGTATGCCGTTGCAGCGCTAGCGGTCGGTAAAGTGTTAAGATCCGTAAATCTTAATCTGAGTGATCAGGATCCAATATCAAGGGCATATCTGCTGAAGATGCAGTTCAGAAGTCTGACACGTCGTAACGATACTTAACCCTTTGCACTCGACGAATTTTTCAATATGAAGATCTAACAATTCGAAACTCACATGATACTTTTATGTTAAAATAAGAGAAAGAAAATCAGACCTTCCTGTGAGAAACGAATAAATAGGATTATTTCGCGCGTAATTAGTTCTAACCTAGTTATTACCCCATATTCGTTACTTATGCTTCGCGTATTAACCCTTTGGACTTGACGAATTTTAGCTAGAGAAGAGAAATTTGAAAATTCTACGACACTGGTAATATATTTTTGAGCTATAAATAAAGAATCGTATAATAGCCATCGCGTAGAATTACTTGATTTCAATACCTCGCACGCTATTACGTTATCTTAAATTTGATAGACCAATTAACACGCTGACTGCCATGTGGTCATCAGTGATCAATGACTGTCTCCTCAGTGGGATCATAATGGTCACCAATATCCGGCGATACTAACTTTTTAAATTTCTATTTGTTTTATTCTAACCAATTTTTGAATATTCGAACAACGTAAATAAATAGAGAACTTCGAATAGAAGACGTTAATAATTTGCACCATCTTTTTTCGCCATATTGTTTGATAATTCGTCATTGTATCCCAAGAATAATGGAAATTTTATCGTGACCCCCTGTGAGCGTACTATATAAAAAATGCGTGGCAGTCGAAGTGTTAATATCCATCTTCCAAATTTTATGAAATGATGAATGAAGCTCACCTCTCGAGTTTAAAGAGTTAAAACAAATGGTGACTGAGAGTCACTGCTCGAAGGCAAAGGTTAATTTCAAATGCGTTTTGCCGCACTATTCTATATATCGTCTTCAGTTCATGGTACACGAGCAAGAAGATCGACAGTCTTCTCATGAACGCGTACTAGCGCGTACCGACGCGACAACCAGAAGTCGACTGGTGGACTAACTGATTTGGGACCTACTGCAAACGACTATCTAATGAACTAACCTGCCTTGGGACCAACTAGTTTACTGACGACCGATAATATCGTTAAGACGTCGATAAGAGGAATAGATCAATGGAGAGTACTATATTATATCTTAAACGCAGTAACATAAACGCGCAGGGAACTCATCGTTCATATTTATATTCGAATATATATGTATATACGATTACCAATCTACGCACATGCGATAATAACCGTAGTGGTTCGACAAAAGTAAGTAACTATATATAATTATGTTCTTATTCGAATAGAAGTGAACGTTAATTTTGTTAAAAATACTCCATGCTTTGAGCAATAACGAAAATAACATACCTGGAATTATTCGACCCTTCCGGTAGTTCTAGACGCTTCCAGAGACTATGGGCAGCCGGTATCGGTGAGAAGAGTGGGGCAAACGACGTAGGGACACTGATAGGAGTGGGGAACCGACACTCTCTCCCACTCCTACGACTGAGGCTGCCGTCCCGCACTGACTGCGGGAAGAGTGGGCCAAGCGACCGAGGTACAGAGTTAGGAGTGGGGGAAACGAGTAGGCTCTCCCCACTCCTAAGGCCGCGGGTACCTTCTACCGGTAACGGCGGGAAGAGTGGGGCAAGCGACGGCGGAACACCGTTAGGAGTGGGGGAAACTGATACACTTTCTCCGTAATGCCGACAACGTCACCAGGTGGGGTCTCTGTGCTTCTTCTCGATTTTGCCGACCGGTCCTTTTTGCTTTTCCGTTCTTTTGCATTACAGTATGCGACAGACGTATCTTACATAAGAATACTTACTAATCCTGTAAGGATTACATATTCCCACTTCGACTTAGGCAAAATATGTGAGGAGAAGGAGGGAAGCATGGAATCTCCAGCTGGCCCTCGTGTCTCGAAGTCTCGACCCCAGCCCATTGTTTAATTTCGTTAAAACAGAATTAGACATTTAATGGCTACTCATGCACACTCGATGCAGTAAAAGGAAATTTTTTAAAAATATACGTTAACAAAAATTGTATAATGGAAGATCTTAGAATATCAGGAAACCATAACGGTATTTTCTGCCCTTTTCTGTTTCATGAGAGAACAAATCTGTCAATTGACGCGAATTAGTTAAATCGAAGTCACTTGGTTAATTGAAATCAGAAAAAAAGAATTTAAAGCGGCACATCCGTAAATACTCGAAACAATATCGGTAAACGGACCCCACCGTGTATAAAATTTTTAAATCCTGTAAAGTGGAGCATACTACAGGAAAAATAGATACTATCTGTAAAGTGATACGTGACTTGATTACATATTGATTGGTAATACAAAAGAAAAAAAGATTGAGCTCTGTTGATTTAAAATATTGCATCGAGTGCTGGTATTGATGGAGAAACGTCGCGTTATAGATATCTCGTAAGCACTTCTGCGTACCCTCCCTATCAATATCCGTCTTGACTGATTTTATAATCAGTGTAAATAAATAAAATAAATAAAGGTATAGATTTCTATTAAAAAAAAGAAAGAACAATATTAATCTGGAAATAACCTATAAAATATCTAACGAATAAAAAATGAGCAAGATAATTGTACTTCGCAATTAAAAATAGGTTATGTTCGATAATGTGAAAGGAATCTTTATTTGGATGGCGTCACCCTG